GCCTGACTTTCTTTTACCAAATCAATTTTATTCTGTAGGATCAAAATATGCTTCAGTTTCATGATTTCTATTGCAGCCAGGTGTTCAGAAGTCTGAGGCTGAGGGCAAGATTCATTACCAGCTATCAACAGGAGAGCTGCATCCATCACCGCTGCGCCGTTCAGCATAGTTGCCATCAAAATGTGGTGGCCAGGACAGTCAACAAAGGAAACATGTCTGACTAATTTGAAGTTCCCTTTGGTCCCTGGAATGTCTGTAGGAAACTCATCAGGTGTACCACTTCCACGTGACCTATAGCATTCTGGTCAAGGACAACTTGGGTCATAAAGTTTATAAACCTTAGCATTAGCATATCCAAGCTTGATTGTAATGTTTCTTTCTAGTTCATTTTTGAACCTGACAGTGTGAACTCTAGAAATGGCTTTTACAGCTGTGGACTTCCCATGAGCTACATGACCAATGGTACCTATATTAATTGTTGCTTGTCTGCTGATTACTTCATGTGAAAGTGGCGTCAACTTCGTAACATCCAAGGTGGCGAGATCCTGACGGGAAAGGTGCGGCTGTCCCAGAGTCACCCCAGCCTCACCCCCCGCCATCTTGCCCGGAGAGGAAGGAAGGCTGATTTTCTTATTACAATCTTTTCATGTAGGAGAAGTGCCTCAATATTTGTTCCTCTAAAGCGTTAAAGATCAGGATCAAAGAGACTTATTCAAGCTCATTGTATTGTGCAGCTGCTTTTGTCCTGAAAGGACTATGTCATTCTGAAGGAAGTTTTATGTTTTATCCTCTTGGTCAAAAAACTTGATTCTTCAATGATTTTATTCATTCGCTCTGGGATTACTCAGTGTTTACTTTCTCTGCTAATTGCAGGGTTCTCATAATAACATGCTGTTTCTTGTTCTGAGATTTGGCAGACTCAGAGAGTATGGTTTTTATTTCTCCAAAACGTGTGAACTTTAGGGAAACAGAATAATTTTTTAAACAAAAGAACTTTACCTATTTGTTTTGTCTAGACTGGTAGATCTGTTTAGTAATCTTTATGTTGTCAGATTCTGCATGATTTGGTGTGAATTAAAAATACTATTTTTGGAGGTCTTTCATTTACCTCTGTTGTTTTCAGTAGATGTATTGTTCCTGTAGGATCACTTTTGATATTGGTGGCATATGAAAATCATAATTTCCTGGAATATGAGCATATAGAAAATGGTAGCAACCTTCTCAAATTTTGAACACTTTCAAGTATTGTAAAACTATAAGTAGGTATTTTTTTGGGAGTCTGCCTTCTTGCCAGATAAAAATAAGAATAAAAATTGCTGTTTAATGTTCTACAAAATTAATGACAGATTTTTAAAGAGTTTCTCCTGTAAATGGCCTTCTAAATAGTATTCAGATTAATTTGCATCCCATCCACAATACCTCTGAGCCGCCTCTCACTCTTTCTATGGTTTCCTAAATGATTACTTGCAAAGAGGCAGAGAGACTGTGGGTACTGTAGAGAGCTGCCTTTTATGAGTTGATAAGCAAGTCTCACTCTGAGTTTTAGGGGTGAGTGCTACTCTTTTTGAAAACTGTTGTCTTTACATTTGTTTCTGGATTCTTTTAATCCTCCTGAGTAGCTTCTGGCCTTGAGTGATGTTTCCAGCTACCACGTTTTGCCACTTTCTGTGCAAGGAGTATTTGAGGATCTGTTCTTGACTCATGTAGGTAGGGCTAGCTTAAGAGTATCCCCCTAGTTCACAGTATCATGTGAGTCTCACAAGTTAGAAAGAGATGCAGCTCTGTGTGTGTGTGTGTTTGTTTTTATGTGTGTATGAGAGGCACAAGTGCAGACAGATACACAAGTGAGTGTGCCAGTGTACACATGGACCTGCATACTTAAGAAAAAAGCTGATGTTTATTCCAGTCATTCATTTATTATTCAGATTACTAACTAACCAATCTACTTACTAATTTATCAGTAGATATTTATTGAGGGTCTACTGTGTGTATGTGTCTCAATAGGAAGATAAAGTACAAATGTTAATTAATACATGGTTCTGGCTGTGTCTGGGCTGACTAGTTGAGAGAAATAAGTTGTACAACAGAAAACCGTGAATGAGTAAATCAAGGAAGTACAAGATTATATCCTGAGTGCCACATTAGTGATTCAGGGCGGGAGTGTAAGGAATTCGGAAAACAGAGAAATGGGATGAGGGTGGGAGAAGAAGATCAGGGAGAGCTTGCACTGCACAGGACCTCGTGGCTTCATCTCTGCTAGGGAGGGTGAGTCTGGGTGTAAAAGAAGAAAGGGACATCTGGAAAGCAATGCTGAGACATGGAGCAAAACAGGAGCTGTTGGTGTTTGGGGAGAAATGCTGAGAGATTCTGATTGGGTCGCTAGGATGTCCTTGCAGTACTGGAACTTAAATTGCTTCAGTGGGGCAGGTGCTTTATGTATATTATGCTTATGGGGCATTTGTAGACTTTGTTGAAAGTTACATATTTCCAAATTTTTATACTTTCCTGGCTGCATTTGATTCCAGCATACAAGCTTCTAAGAGAAGTAAACGATATTAACAATTTGAAGAAAATTTGTGCTGTAACACAGTTTTGGTATTTGCAGAAGTTATTTTATAGACATATGTATAATGGTTAGGATGATTAGGCATGTGAAGAAAACCTAATTAACTCAGTGAATTTTTTCCTAGGCCCGACCTGATCGACATGAATACTGTTGCTGTTCAAAGCAACCTTGCAAATTTAGAGCACGCTTTTTATGTAGCAGAAAAAATTGGTGTTATAAGACTTCTGGACCCTGAAGGTGAGTTTTTCTTGGGTAGGTCTGAACTGGCATGAAAGCCTGATCAAAAGTAACTTACCAACATCATGAAATAATGTATGTTGCTGGTTTTAGATGTCGATGTCTCCTCCCCTGATGAAAAATCGGTTATAACCTATGTGTCATCTCTCTATGATGCATTTCCCAAAGTCCCTGAGGGTGATGAGGGCATCGGTGCAAATGTGAGTATTTAGTTTTCTGCACTAGAAGCTACTGATACAGTGAGGACCACTTGACTGAAATTTTTGTGCTTTGACAGTTCTTACTTCTTATTTTTATCTATTTATTGGGGGGGGGCACTGGGAATTGAACCCAGGACCTTGTGCATGTGAGGCAAGCAGTCTACTACTGAGCTATATCCCCAGCCCTTTAATTTTTTTAGATAGGTGCTTACTTAGTTGCCCAGGCTGGCCTCAAACTTGTGATCCTCCTGTCTCAGCCTCCTGAGGAGCTGGGATTACATGTGTGTGCTGCCACACCTCCGTTACAGTTTTTACATGTCAAATATATTTTAAAGATTTTGATAGCATTCTGGGAACCAGAAGCAGGAGAATCAAAAGTTTGAGCCCAAGCTGGGCAACTTAGATCTTGTCTAAAAAAATTAAAAAAAGATCTGGGGAGGTAGCTCAATACAGCACCACACATAACAAGAATTTGAGTTAATGTGCTATTTAATCAACAGATATTGTACCCATTTCATGGTAGCATCTTTCTTTCACCTGGAAGTGGTATCCTGATAGCTCTAGGAGCCATCCCTTACTTGTCTGTCCTTTGAGCATTTGAGGAAAGAATTCAGTCAAGACACACAGGCATCAGAAGCTAGGTAGAATTTATTCTGAAGCAGATATGGAGAGAGTTACACCTTCAGAGGAGGTGGGCCGTGCCCCGAAGGCGCTTAACAGTCCCTTGCAATAAATTAAAAGGGTAATGTTTTCAGATTTAGGGGTGGCCTAGAGGAAGGTAATTGGATTTGGTCATATTAACAGAACTAGGTCTCTGACACATATTGTATATTTATCAGATTACTGTTTCTCAAAAGTTAGTATAATCCACTCAGGGATTTTGCAGTGGTCTTGGTGTCAAGTATTTATGTGTTTCTGGGAGAGAATAGGACTGTATGTGTCACACATGTCGGGGATATGCCTGACCTGGCCTTCTTCCCTCTTCCTTGCAAATGCCTTTTGTTTCTCTGTTACTTTGAAAATTTGGGAGCCCCTTTCTGGTCTCTTACTCGTCTGGGTGTGTGTTGTTTTTAGACTTACTTTTATCCTCATCCTCCTTTTCTTCCTCACAAAGGTCTTGGGCCTTTGGACCCCCAGGCAGCTTGTTCTGATGAGTAACCTGTCATGATTGGTCTTTGATACTGGATGTTGCTTCAGAATGTTTCGTGTTCCTCTTAGTACTTCCACTTTACTCCCACCTTTTGCCCCTTGGCACTAGAACTAGGGTGACAGCTGTGGCTTCCCATCCCCATTTTTCCCTTTCCCATCAGATCTGCATTTCGTTGCCAAATCTTCCTAAAACCTGTATCTTTATCTTAAATGTGCAATGGTGATGTATTACTTGCAGGTTAAATCCAATCTAGATGTCCTGACATTCAAAACTCTAAATATAGTAATTGTTCTTACCTACATTTTTGTCAGTGTTTTCTCAAAATGAACCATTTACTAGTAGCCAGGGCATTTCCATTTCAGGGTCCTGGCTCATTTGGGGCTGCTCTGTCTTTTATCTACTCTGCCCATGCCCTTCTTCATCCCTCTCCCACAACTAAAGAATTATTGGTCATTGTAGGACATTGTAGAGATACTCTTTCCTAAGAAACCTTTAGTGACCATTTCAAGGCATATATACTTGCCCGATTATTATCTCAGTTTCCAATATATGCAGTATTACCTGTTACAGTTCTTTGAACATGTAGACAGTGCTTTTCATTTTACTTATCTGCTTATACTATAAATCTCTCCTGGCTCCCTAACTAGACAGCAGCTCCTTGACACCAGGTAATATGTCTTAAAGTTTTATTTTATATCACAACACTGAGCACATAATAAGCATTGATAATAAACATTCATCAAATACTTAAATGAATATAGCACTTGACAGTATCCCAGTCTCTTTTCTTTTTAAAAAGTTTGCTTAATGAGTACTTGAATAACTCCACCACATCCAGTTCATTCCTACTGGTTCCCTAGATACTGTGTAACTCTTTTGAGTGTCAGAAATTCAGTAGACTTAGATCTCAAATGGTTGGCAGAGATGACTGGCTTGGTTTTGGCAAGCTATTAACTGCTCCTTCTTGAGCCCTGGAAAGCACCCCAGATTGACCCTGGCATTGGTTATTTCTGGTGTTCTGTTGGATGCAAACCCAGAAGCCTTCTCAACACAGTGCCCCAGGTGGCCACTATCTTTGGATCAGAATTGACACTCATTAGGCAAATGTTAGTGGCCAGATGTTGATAGCAGATTTTTAAAGCTGTTTTGTAGAAAGAATTGTGGCTGAATCGAAAGTAAAAACCCATTTAGCTGGTTCTTTCTGTCAAGCCTAAGCATATAAAAAATTCACACGATGATTTCTGACTAAATTGTGTTAGATGTGAATGTTATTATCTATAGACACAAACTTTGTCATTTTATCACTTTAGGATGTTGAAGTCAAATGGATTGAATACCAGAATATGGTGAACTACCTCATCCAGTGGATTAGACACCATGTGACCATAATGTCTGAGAGAACATTTCCTAATAATCCTGTAGAACTAAAGGTTGGTGTCAAATGGAAGTTTACCAGGATTGATTTGATAGTAAACTTTTAACTAAAGCTGTGATAATTCCATAATTTTAGACATATGAGGAAAGTTGCTGTTGGCAAGCCATGAATAAGTAGACAGAATTTTAATTTACTTATTTTCCTATTACACAGAGAAAATATAAATAAATATTAATAATTAAAACATTAAAGCAGTAGCTCTTAAAGAGATTGATAGTCTCTAAGCTACATTTGTTGAGAGTTGAACAAACCCTGGATGGAGCATTGCTGTGTTGTTTTTGGTGATGGGAAGCACTCAGAGCCCACATAGCGGGCAGGAGGCCTCGTGGGAGGTGGCACACAGGCCACAGTGGTGGGGAGCACACCTCGCTGGAGTCCTGTTACACGCTGCCTCCGAGGTTTCTCCTGTGGAGCAAGAGATGTGTCCTGAATTTTATCACGTATTCAAAAGTACATAACTAACTTTCAGTGAAAGTAAATTCAGAATTGATGCTCATGAGGCTAGTGTTAGTGGGCAAATGGTTTAGCCAAACATTTGCTAATACTAAAAAACTTAGGTCCGACTATTTGAGGCAAAGATGTAGCAATATAAAAGATATAGATATGTAAACTTATCACAGAGTAAGTTGACTCATTTTGTCCATATGGGTTTGAAATAGCAAAGCACTCTATATTTACAAATTGGTAATATAAGTATTAACTATAAAGCCTTAATTCCTTGATTTGTAAACTTTGCTTTCAGGTTCAGACTGGAATCGTGAAAACTATAATAACCCAGGGTGGGCCTTGTTAAGTTATTCTCTGTGTTCACGCATCTGTATGAAGCACCTGGAACACAGCTCATATTCACATTGCCTCAGGGAGTTTGTCCTTGGCATGAAGTTATTAGGCATCTTTCAATAAGATGCATTTTTAAAGTGTCCTAGCGTTGTTTGTATGATGTCTCCCTATGTGAGTATGAACTTTTCCAGGAAGAGAAAGCTTTTCCCTTCTACTACCATGGTGCCACAAATATTGGGTACCGCATCGTGACATTGAGTGCTTAATGCCCAACAAATGTCCTAAAAGGTGATATTTTCAGTCAAAACAATTTTTACTTTCAAATACACTTATTTCCAGGTGCATTCCTATTGTCTAGACCTTTGGGTGAATTTGTACTTGCCTCTGATTAATGCAGATTCTTAAATTTGTCAAAGAAATTTGACTATGCAGATTATTTGCTAGTACCTACAATAGAATATGACATAATGCAGGAAAGAAAATATATTATGAAGAAATGCTAAATAATTTTTAACCAGAAAGCCATTGAATAGAATTCTACAGAAATGTGTCTACCTGAAGATTTATGTTTTAATGCAGCTTGAATTAAAATAGCATATACGTATTAAATGAGGAAGCATTTTATCTGTATAACTTTTATGAAAATCTTTATAAAAGTATAATAAATTATATTTAAGAGGTTTGCAAATTAATATCTATATTATCCAATTAATATCAACTGTATAGTTGAACTATGTGGTTGAGACTTCTCTATTAATAAGCCCATCAACTAATAGTGTCAACCTTCATTTAAGAAAAGCAATTTTCATTGGCCAGTGGGACATTGAAACCAAATTTTAGCCCTTGTTAGCCAAGAATTCTGTTTTCAGGGATAGAACATGAAATAGAAATTTTTTTTCTTTCTTTGTGGGAATTGCATCAAATTATTTTTCCAAAACCTGATAGCTAAGGTGCAACATTTGGAAAGTACATCTTTTAAAGGATATACTTTTTTGTTTTGATACTGACTTTCATAAAGCCCTAGAAGGCCTGTTGTGGTTCATTATTATTCAGATTCCCTGTGGTACATGTTGAAACATGGCTCACATCACTAATTACATCCTCATCAATTTTATATAACCCAGGTCACCAGCTGCCTGGGAATTGGTATTATCCTTGTGTGTTAATTTTGTAAAGGAATTTTCACTGAATGCTCATTACACAGTAAATAGCATTTGCAGTGGTGAAAAATGAGATAATGAAAGCAAGTGTCTGAAGTTTGACCCTTAATTTTTTTTCTCTTTCATTTAGGCACTTTATAATCAGTATTTACAGTTTAAAGAAACAGAAATTCCACCAAAGGAGACAGAAAAATCAAAAATTAAACGCCTCTATAAATTATTAGAGGTAAGTGGCAATTTACCTTGTATTATCAGGTGTCATCTTCATTTCTTTAAAAATCTTTGCCTCACATTAACATTTTTTGTTTCCTCAAGATTTGGATAGAATTTGGGCGCATCAAACTACTTCAAGGTTATCATCCAAATGACATAGAGAGAGAGTGGGGCAAACTCATTATCGCCATGCTTGAGAGGGAGAAGGCTCTTCGCCCTGAAGTAGAGAGGTAGGACGATGTTTGTTGTCCTGGGATAAGGTGGGAGGAGCCACTTTGTTCTTTGGGAAAGAACTAGAGTTTTAGAGTCAGGCAGATGGAGGACCAGTCTTACCATTTTCATTTATTTGAATGCATGAACTTTGATAAGTAAGTTAATCTTTCTGACTCTCCATTTTCTTAGACACAAACTCTTCGGAGAAGTTACAGTGAGTAAATCAGTGCAGCAATTAATATAACGGACCCGGGAGGCTGGACTGGTGTGTCAAGTCTCATCTCATAAGTATTAATAGTTTCTGAGTTTTATATTGGCAGTCAAGCCCAGGGGCACTCTACCACTGAAGTACATCTCCAGCCCCTCACACCCTTCCTCTCTTTATTATTTTGAGAAAGGTTCTTGCTATATTGCCTAGGTGAGAATTGGACTTGGAGATCTTCTTGCCTCAGCCTGCCTTAGTGCTGGGATTCCTGTGCCAGGCATCAGTAGTTTAAAACCAATCAGAGTTACCTATAAGAATTTGTGAACTCCCTTTTATGTCATTAGAAGCCTGTAGGTTAGCAGTTAACTTTTTTGTTACATTTTTGTCCATGGGCTTCTTTCTCTGGGGCAGTGGGAACCAACTTCCAGCAACCACCATTTAACGCAATAGGTTCCTGTCAAGAGAACATTCAGTCATTGCCTGCTCAGGCTCCCTGTCTGCCACACTTCTGCAGAAGCGTTGATTTCATGACAACACCACTGACTCTTCACTGTTCTGTCCTCTCACAAGACTGTTTCCCAGGGAAGGTGTGGCTTCATCACTGGGAAACCTTTTGGTGGTAGTGACGATGGTGGTGGTGCAGGGTGGGGGCAGACCCCAGGGCCTGGCACTTACTGGGCAAGTGCTTTGCCACTGAGGTATACAGCAGCCATGTGGGGAGATTTGATTCTGTACGGTCCTCAGAGCGCGACTGTGGCTTGTGGCATTGTGGCCTGCACTCCTCGTGTGTGTGACCTACACAGTCGCAGGCCTGTGTGAGCAGGTGCCTCTCTGGCCTGCTGGCGCTCTGTAGGGCAGGACACTGGGCTTGTGCGGTCTCTCGGTTTGGCAGGGGCATCTGATTCATCCTCCCTATCTCTTTATTCCTGATCATTCTCAGAGCCCAGCTCTTCCTCAAGAAACTTTATGTGGTCTCCTGCACTGGCCCACCTGTCTTGATTGCCACTCTCATATTCTATTGTTCCTTTACAGCAACTTATCTTGGTTGAAATTTTGTATTTATTTCTATTTGATTAAGGGCTACTTGTACCTCATATATGAGCTCCAAGAGTGTGGAAACACGCTCGATTTTTCTGTTCCTTGTGGTGTTAATGCTTAGAAACACTTAAGAGACACTTACTAAGAGACACTTAATACAGTCATGAAGTTAATGTCTCACACATTGACTTCAGCATTGCTAGAATATGAAATAACATGTTGAAAACATGAGGGCTTGTCAGTCTTTTATTAAGTTACTGATTACATGGTTGTTAAAGCATAATGCTATATTTCTATAACTGGATCATTTGAATTAAAATACTCTTGAAACTCACAGGATTAAGGTTTTATGGAGCCAGTAACTGTGGGTGGTTAAAATGAGATACGAAGCTAATCATCTGAAGTAAAGGAAAAAAATACCAGAGAAAAAAGATAGAGAGTAGAGTTTTAGTTGTCACAGTATTAGATGAATTTAATATATGTGTCTTAATCTACTTCATGTTGCCATAACAGAATACAGTGCCATATGCTGGGCAATTTAAAAAGAAAAGACATTGGCTGGAGCCAGACATGATGGTGCATGCTCAGAATCCCAGCCCTTTAGGAGAGTGAGGCAGGAGGATCACAGTTTGAGTCCCATCTAAGCAGCTAAGTAAGACCTGTATCAAAATACAAAATAAAAACAGCTGGGATATTCAGTGCCGGAACACCATTATAGTACTGGAAACCCCAATTATAGTACAGGAAAAAAATATTAGTCAGGTGTGGTGACCCATGCCTGTAATTCTAGCAGGCTAAGGCAGGTGGCCACAAGTTTGAGCCCAGCCTGGGCAACTTAGTGGCTAAGTGAGACTCTGTCTTAAAATAAAAATGAAAAAGGACTGCAGATGTAGCTGCATGTGTGAGGGTCCTGGGTTCAATCCCTAGTACCACACACACACAAAAAGAAAAATGGTTTCTCACGGTCCCGGAGGTTGGAAAGCACAGTGTTGCACCAGTATCTGGGGAGGGTCACTGTGTTGCATTCTCTGCTGGTGGAGAGTGGAAAGGAAGAGAAGGTAAGGAGGAGAGACAGACAGACATAGCAGACACAGAGGGTGCCCATGCATGCATGTATGAGAGAGCAGGGGTTCTCACACGGCAGAGCAGCCAGACCTGCCTTGTCAGGGTGCTGTGCCCCTGCAGCCATGCAGCATGAACCTGCTCATAAGGGCAGGGATTTGGTAGTCTAATCACCTCTCCCAAGTCACATCTCTCAGCACCACTGCCTTGGGGCTAAGTCACCAGCACGTGCACTTCAGAGATACATTCAGGCCATAGCAGAATGTGATGTCTAATTCCAGTTCAGTGGTAAGGGTTAGAATGATCTATTTATATTAATTAAAGAATGCAATAAAGAGTTCAGGACTCAGGAGCCTTCCGGCCAATCCTGGATTGCATTTATTTCCTCAGCTTGCAAGTTGTGTGATCTTTTTTTTTCCCATTAAGTTTATTGGTACATTTTAGGTATAAAATAACAGTTACATACATCATTGGTATCTTGTACCATTACATGAGTATCTTGGTTCTTATTTTTTTCCCCTTCCCCTGTCCTCCCTTCACCCCCTCCACCTTTCCCTATTTGCAAAGACTTTGTTTCCATTTTTTTCCTTTTCTCATATTTTTTCTTTTCCCTTCTTTCCTTTCCCCTACCCCTCCCACTTCCCCTGCTCCTTTAGACCTTTTCTTCCTATTGCACAATATCAGTTATACATTTTTAAAATGACAATATCAAGACCTAGGAGACATTACCACAGATTTTACAGAAATTAAAAGGATATAGAAAGCATATTACAAAAATCTTTTTTTTAAATAAATTTGATAACTTCTAAGAAGTACCTTGGAAGACAAATTAATGAAACTAACTCTGGAGGAAATACAAAATTTGAATAGCACCTATTAAAGAAAGTATATTCCTAGCTTGAAAACCTACCTATATGACAACAGGCTCATATACATTTTAACTGATAAATTACCTCAAACATTTAAAGCAGAAAAAAGAAGGAACACTTCTCCCCTCATTTTAGGAACTCAACATTGTGCTAATCCTAAAACTGGGTAAAGATAATAGAAGAAAAATGTATGAACATAGATAGAAATTTGTTTAACAAAACAGACTATTAACAGTCAGATCTGGAAGTATATAGAAAGTGGTTTTATTACAGGGATGGCTGTGTTGGTTCAGCATTGGAAGATCCACCCCCGAAAGTCATCATTTTAACAGAGGAAAGAAAAAAGCTATATGATCCTGTCAGTAGTTAGAGAAAAAGTATTGGACTGAATTCTACAGCTTTTCATGGTAAAAGCTATCAGGAGACTAGAAGTAGAATAGAACCTTCTCAACAGATCAAAGACATGTACTCCATACTTCCAGCAAAAACACCTTATATGAATAGAGAAGATACAATGCTTTCTCCCTAAGGTGGAGAACAAAGGCAGATATGCCTACTTTTCATCTGTCCATTAAACTTTGAAACATAGGCCCAAACCAAAATAGTCTGGCAAGAAAATGACACAATTAGGATAGGATTGGCAAGGTAGAAGTAAAATCTTTATATGAAGATGAAATGATCATCTATAGAGAAAATACTAAGAAATCTCTAGAGCCCCTAGAACTTGTATTTGAATTTAGCAGGATTAGAAAACACAAGGTATATATAAAAATTCAGGTCTATGTATACTTGCTATAAATGAAGAATTGGATATTGAAATTCAAAAGTTATGTAGGAGTACAAAGGGCCTAGAAAAAGAAAAAGAAAAAGAAAAAAACAGTATTGGAAGACATTTATTACCTAATTTTAAGACTTCCTCTAAAGCTACAGTAATCAAGGCAGTGTTGGCGTAAGGAAAGACATAGATCAGTGGAATAAAACAGAGAATCTAGAAATAGAACCACACATATATGGTCCACTGAGTTTTGAAAGATTATTTAACAGTAACATTTTATGGAATATAAACTCAATTCAAGAGCCGAGGAAAAGATAGTGTTTTCACCAAATGGCACTAGAACACCTGGTATCCGTATATAAAAAATTAATCTCAACCCTTTATTTCCATACATAAAAATACAAGTTGTGTGATCTTATACTTTACATGTTCATTGACCTCTGAGCCTTAGTTTCCTCATTGTAAACAGAATGTAATAATACTTAACACATTTGGTAGTAATGTGTTTGAGATGGACTAATTGTGTGTAAAATGACTCATTTCCTGGCACATAGTAATGGCTTAATGAATGTTAGGCAGTGTTACTGTTTTTTTAATAGTTGCATTTACTCACAATTTTTGATACAGCTCTCAAATTTCTCCTTTCTTAACTTTGGAAAGAAAAATATCCTCAGAGTAGGGAAATGACAGTCTAGCTTTGGAGTGGTGCAGGTAGGAAAATATTGCAGAGTGTGATTGGATAAATGCCTTCACTTTTCTTGACACAACACCTTTTTTGGCATTAAGTGTACTTCAGAAGTAATAGCTACACAGCATGGTGTGTGTAGAAGAAAAATAGGAAAGAGCCACTCTTATGCCATGTAACAACCTGTAGAAAGGTGAAACAAGCACAAATTAACTTTGCAACCATTGCATTAATACTCCATTTAGCACTTAAGCTTTTAGAAATATGAAGTAACCATAGTAGCTTTAGAAAACATTATTGAAAGCACATCACATGAAGGATGGTAAATGGAAGCCAGGCGTGGTGGCACATACCTGTAATCCTAGCACTTTGGGAGGCTGAGGCGAGAAGATTGAAAGTTTGATCCCAGCCTTGGCACCTTGATTATTTACCAAGACTCTGTCTTGAAATAAGAAAAATTTTTAAAGAGCTAGGGCTGTAGCTCACTGTGAAGGCCCTGTATTCAGACCCTAAGTGCATCTCGTCTCAGAAAAGGTAAATGGATGTTTCCAGTTAATTTAAGTCTTTGGACAAATGATACAGGATTAAAATGAAAATGAAGTTTTGTTTCTCTTATTCATGAGTACTGGATGGTTTCCAGCTCTTTACCTGTGTTACTCAGTTCAGACCCAGCCTTTGCAGAAGTCAGGCTGTGATCAACATTTGTGCTCTTTCCGTGGATGATTCGTATCATCAGAGTAACTTGCACAAGTAGTACCTGGGCTTCTGGGATCTGGGTTGTTTTTTAGGTGTTTGCATTCGGGTGACTCTTGGTGAAAATATTTGGCCTGTCTTTCCAGTGACGCCCCAGTCCGCCTGATTTGTCTGTACTTGCAGGGTTTTAATGCAAGCTGCAAAAGGCAAACCTCAGGAGCAAACGAATGGCTTTAGGCAAGATTCTTTGGAATAGTTATCAGCATATCATTTGCTGTGTGTTGCATATGCATGGTGAAACCTATTTAAGGAGCCACTAAAGTGGTAATATTCAGCTGCCACTTCTCACTGTTAGAAGTAGAGTTTTCCCAGATCTACTTCTTAGTCAACTTTTAATGGTCAGAGAACATCATTTCAGGACTAAAAATGCATAGTAGTAGTTACAGTTACCACAGCAGTGATTCTGTGTTTAGTAACACTACCAGCACTCGAACTAGTCTTGATTCAAATGAAAATTTTCTCTCGGTTCATTGTGGTCCAACACTGATCAACTCCTGCATTAGCTTCGGCAATGAATCCTTTGAAGGACACAGGTATTGAATTACTGGTGTGGGCTTCTGGTTGGCAGTATTTTTCATGGATAGCATACTCTTTGATTTTCTTTTCTCTTGTTTCTTCTTTTAGGTTGGAAATGCTGCAGCAGATTGCCAACCGGGTCCAAAGGGACAGTGTCATCTGCGAAGACAAACTGTTGCTCGCCCGGAATGCTCTCCAGTCTGTAAGTTCAATGTAGGAGTCATTGGTGTTGCTGGAGAGGGCTCAGAGTGTGTTTCGATGAACGAAAACTTTTGGATAACATTTGGTTGATTCTTGGTATATTTCTTCTACTGAAAAAATTTAGTTTATTAATAATGATGGTTTGATATTTGCGCTCTGGAGAGCCAGTGAGCAAAGGGAGAACATATTTTTGAACCAAAAATAAAACAAGCCCAAGTAGGCTTCTGTCCTAATATTTGGAGTTTTAAATTGAAGGCTAATTCTGACACTTATTTCATAAACATAATATTGAGTTCTTTTAAATACAGGATTCCAAAAGATTAGAATCAGGGGTGCAGTTTCAGAATGAAGCAGAAATTGCCGGATACATACTTGAATGTGAGAATCTTTTACGCCAGCATGTTATTGATGTACAGATTCTTATTGATGGAAAATACTACCAGGCAGATAAATTGATACAGAGGTAAGAGTGCTATCTAGTCCTATCCTGTCTTTTTGAGTAATTATTTCATAGGCACTTGTGATCAGAATATATAACATTGTATGAAATATATTTCTTAGCTCTTTTTAGTTGAAAAGTATATCATTTCTTCAAAGATTCATAGAAAAAACATTTTATACTGCATACAATAATTGCTGCACTAGTAACTATTACAATGAAGATTTTAAATGCATGTATATTATTTACATATGTGTGGCTGAGGAAGCAACATACTTAATGTGCACAAGGCCCTGTGTTCAGTCCCTGCACCACACAGTAAATTAATGAATGAATAAATGCTGTAACTGACATTTGGAAAAGGGGAAATATAAGAAAATTGACATTTTAATTCAAGTTTTCAGTCTTTTTATCTTGGTATGAAAGTGTTCATAATCAAATGTTGGGGAAAATGTGTATAAACATGTATGTCTCCAAAAACTGGGTTTGAGGTTAGGAATAGAACCATATATTGCAGCCTGAAAGCTTTTATTTATATCAATATATAAATATATAGACATATATATCGCAAACATACATATGCATATATATAGATAAGCAAAATTTGTAAGCCATGTTTTACTCAGTAATTTCATTTTAGAAATCTACAGTAAATCTAAATATAGATGCTAAAGATGTAAAAACAGAAAAAAGCTTTATGTTTATACCAGAAATATTTTATAAGTGAAGTTTGGAATTAAATATCAAATAATAGGAGAACAATCACATTAAAGTGTAATAATAATTTATGGTCCTTATAAATGATGCAGACTAATATGGAAAGTGCACATGGTATAACAATCAGTGAAAAAAAGTCACCATGCAAAATTTTACCAGTATGATTACAATGACTTTTTAAAAAATGGGCTTTTTTGAGCAATTTGGGTTTACAGAAAAACTGAATTAAAAGTAGTATTCTTATATACCCCTTTGTACCTCACCCTTTCCATATTATAAATATTGCTTTAGTGGTACATAGTAGAATTGATAGGCTATGATTGGTATGTTATTAAAGAAAGTCCATAGTTGACATTGGGGTTCACTCTTTGTGATAGGCACCTTCTATTCTCTGCTGTTCTCCCTTTTGATTTTCTTTTCAGGGTTGCAAAACTGCGTGATGAGATTCTGGCCTTAAGGAATGAGTGTTCCTCAGTGTATAGCAAAGGACGCATGCTGACGACAGAACAGACGAAGCTCATGATATCAGGAATTTCTCAAAGTTTGAACTCAGGGTTTGCACAGACCTTAAACCCCACTCTGACCTCAGGGCTGCCCCAGAGTTTAACACCTTCCCTGACCTCTTCTAGTGTGACGTCTGGCCTGTCATCGGGGATGACTTCTTGCCTAACTCCATCTGTCACTCCAGCTTATACACCTGGTTTCCCATCAGGTTCAATTCCAAACTTCAGTTCAGGAGTAGAGCCAAATTCCTTGCAGTCTCTAAAATTGATGCAGATCCGAAAACCCCTTCTAAAGTCATCTTTGCTCGATCAGAATTTAACAGAAGAGGAAGTCAACATGAAATTTGTTCAGGATCTTTTGAATTGGGTTGATGAGATGCAGGTAAAAAAATATTTTTACTTGAGCATTTCAGTCCTTATTGCTGTCAGTTTTTTTGTTTTTTTTTAAATCTAGTATTTTGGCATTAAAGGTGCAGCTGGATCGTACTGAATGGGGCTCAGATTTATCAAGTGTTGAAAGCCATTTAGAAAATCATAAAGATGTTCACCGAGCTATAGAAGAATTTGAATCTAGCCTTAAAGAAGCTAAAATCAGCGAGGTATGTGAATCTGGAATTTTTATCTATTTCATTGTTCTGCTCTTTACATGGACACCTTGCATTGTAACTCAGTAATAGATGTCTCAAGAGTAAGAGTTATTTAAGATCCTTAAACTTGATGTCTTTTTATCCTGTATTATAGATTCAAATGACAGCACCTCTTAAGCTAACTTACACAGAAAAGCTGCACAGATTAGAGAGCCAGTATGCAAAACTCTTGGTAAATTTTGTTTTTGTTTTTAAAGCCTTTTATTTCCTTTATCTCTTGGCAAAGATGATTCTTACAACAATTTTCTTTATAAAGAATACATCCAGGAATCAAGAACGGCACCTGGACACACTCCATAATTTTGTAACTCGTGCAACTAAGGAACTTATTTGGTTGAATGAAAAAGAAGAAGAGGAAGTTGCTTATGACTGGAGTGAGAGAAATACCCACATATCCCGGAAAAAAGATTACCATGTTGTAAGTACAGCCTTGGTACTTGCATTCTGAGTTGTATTTTAGGTTTAGATTTTTTTTCTGACATACTCCTTAATTCTTTCTTAAATTAGGAATTAATGAGAGAACTTGAACAAAAGGAAGAGAATATTAAATCAGTTCAGGAGATAGCAGAACAGCTTCTTCTAGAAAATCACCCAGCCCGTTTAACCATTGAGGTGAGTTAGAAAGTTTTAACAGGGGCTGGGGATTTAGCTCAGTGGTTCTGCCACCTGGCTGGCAAGGTCCCGAGTTTGATCCCCGGTACCAAAAAAAAAAAAAAAAAAAGAATTAGTTCAGCATTTGGACAGGCAACCAATAGTTGCTGAAGTAAAATTATATGACTGAATGGATATATATGTCCTCTATGAAAATCTCTTGGCTAATAAGTGTATAAATCCC